CTTTGGCATCTCATCCAAGAAATCATTGCCAAATTCAATGTTGTGAAGCTTTCCCTCTATATTTTCTTCTAAGAGTTTTATGTTGTAGTTCTTATATTTAGGTCTTTGATCCATTTTGTGTTAATATTTGTAAAGAGTATTAACTAAGGCTCCAACTTTATTCTTTTGCATGTAGATACCCAGTTTTTCTCAGTACCATTTGTTGAAAAGACTGCCTTCTCCCGATTGAATGGTCTTGGAACTCTTGTCAAAAATTAGCCATATGTGAAAAGTTTATTGCTAATCCCTCTATTCTCTCTATTCTGTTTCATTGACTTATAAGTTTGTTTTTGTGACAGTACCACACTGTTTTGGTTACTTTAGCTTTGTAATAAGTTTTGAAATCAGGAAGTGTGTATTCTCCAACTTTGCTCTTCTTTTTCAAGATTGTTGTGGTTTTTCTATTTCTGAAAAATACATCATTGGGATTTTAATATAGATTGCATTGAATTTGGGTAATACTGACATCTTAACAATATTCTGTTATTGTCTTTTAATTCATGAATATAAGATGTCTTTCCCATAATAAATAACATCATTTCTTTCAGTTTATTTCAATATTTTGTAGTTTTAATTGTCTTTTTTTTTAAATGCTTTATTTTAAGAAGGGAGAGAGAGAGGGAGAGAGAGAAACATTGATGTGAAAGAGTAGGGAGAGAGAGGGAGAGAAACATTGATGTGAAAGAGTAAACAATCAGTTGCCTTCCACACATGCCCTGACTGGGGATAGCATCCTCAACCTTGGCCAGAAATTAAACCCACAACCTTTTTGGTTTTCATTGTTTCAAGTTTTTCACTTTCTTAGTCAATTCCTAATTTTTTTCTCTTTGATATTATAATAAATGTAATTGTTTTAATTTCCTGTTCAGATATTTGTTGGTGTATAACGATGCAACTGATTTTTGTGCTGTCTTTGTGCTGACCTGTTTCTTAGCTAAATTCAATTTTTTAGTGCTAGCAGTATTTTGTGGAATATTTAGGTTTTTCTATTTACTAATCATCTGTGAACAGAGATAATTTTACTTCTTTTCCAATTTGAATAACTTTTTATTTCCTTTTCTTGCTTAATTTGGTAGAGATTCCAGTACTATATTGAGTTCAAGTGGCAAAGGCTGTCATCCTTGCCTTACTCCTGATCCTGAGTGTTTTCCACATATACTTTCATTATGTTGAGGTAGTTTTCTCTTATTGTTAGTTTAAGTGTTTTTGTCATAAAGGTTATTGAATTTTATCAAATGCTTTTTCTGTATTGAGATAACCATGTGGGTTTCCTCCCTCCATTCTAAACATCCTTGCAGTCTTGTGAATAAACCCACTAGGTCATGGTATATAATCCCTTTTATTTTTCTCCAATGTCTTTTTGTTGATTTCTGAGAGGGAGAGGGAGAGATAGATGCATCAATGATGAGAATCATTGATCGGCTGCTTCCTGCATGCACCCTACTGGGGATCCAGTCTGAAATCTGGCCTTGTGCCCTGATTGGGAATTGAACTTGTGACCTTCTGTTTCATAGGTCAATGCTCAACCACTGAGCCACACAGGCAGAGCATAATCCTTTATGATGTGAATTTTGTTTGCTAGTATTTTGTTGAGGATTTTTGCATTGATAGACATGATACAAGTCTGTAGGTTTCTTTTTTTTATATTAGGAAATGTTCTCTTCGATATTTTGGAAAAGTTTGGGAATGATTGGTGTTCTCCATTAATTGTTTGGTAGAATTCACTAGTGAAGCCATAAGGTCCAGGGCTTCTCTTTTTTGAGACTTATTACTGATTCAGTACCCCTACCAATTATACATCTCTTCAGGACTGCTCTTTTTTTTTTTTTTTTTTTCAAAGTATATTTTATTGATTTTTTACAGAGAGGAAGGGAGGATAGTTAGAAACATCGATGAGAGAGAAACATCCGTCAGCTGCCTCCTGCACACCCCTATTGGGGATGTGCCTGCAACCAAGGTACATGTCCTTTACTGGAATCAATCCCGGGACCTTTCAATCTGCATTGGGCTAACTGTTGTTGTTGAGTAATGTTCTGTATGTCTGTCAGATTTAATTGGTTTATTGTGTTATTCAAGCTATTTCCTTATATTTCTTCTGTCTGGTTCTATTCATAATTGCAAGTGGGTAGTAGAGTCTCTGACTATTGTGGAACTATATTTCTTCCCGGAAATATTTGCCTCATATTTTAAGGGTGTGTTCTTAGGAGAAAATATAGTGTTTTTAAAACATAAAAAGACAGTAAACAACCTAATATCTACTGATATACTTTTTCTTTTAAAGATATACTTTTAATTGAAAAAAGAAAACCAGATAGCACATATTGTATGTTAATTTTGTCTTAATAAAATACATACACTTGTATTTGCTTGTGCATGCAGAGAATATCTCTGGAAATGTAAAGGACCACCTGCGAGGGCCTTAGTTCTGTGGCCATGTTGGGGACCCGGGTACGGGAGCACTGGTCCTAGCCCTCAAAATCCCCATGTGGTCACTGTCGCGTTCTCCTACCCTCACCATGTTCCTCACCGGGTCTGAGTACCACAGAGGTGGGAATACTTTTTCTCCTGAAGGAAAATATTTCATGGGGAATAAGCCACTGAGGCTATCAAGCTTGCTCTGCAGCCATTGGGATCCAGACACACAGGGGGTTTTCCTAGCTGTGGACAATTGCCTCTCCATTCATGGAGCCAAGCGACATTGAGAAAGTTGTAGAGCTTGATGCTCACATAGGTTGTGCCATGAATGGGCTAACTGTTGATGCTAAGGCTTTAACTGATAAAGCCCAGAGTGGAGACACAAAACCATGAATTCACCTACAAGTAGACAATGATGGTGGAGTGTGTGACCTAGGCTGTGTCTGATCCGGCTCTACTGTTTGGAGAAGATGCAGATTTGGGTGCCATGTCTTGTCCCTTTGGAGTAAGCAGCACTGTTGTTGGGAGGTATTGGTGAGAAAGGACCTCGGCTGTTTCATAGGGCCCATCAGGGACTTGTGGACAGAGTGATGCTTGAGCAATTGGCTCTGGTTCAAAGGGTACCCGGAGCTCCTTGCAAGTTTACAAGTCTATGATTCTGGAAGAAGCCATCAAGTCTTCACTCATTACCCTCAGACAAGCAATGGTGAAGAAGCAGAATGCAATTACATAGAACTAGCCGCTGTGCGGCCTGGCCAGACTTTTCCCGTGTTCACAAAGGAAAAACTTGAGAGGTCATCAAGGACATTTAAGGGAGTGTGCTCCTCAGAACTTCTCCGGGACAATTTCAGTTCTCCTGACTGCCCTGAACTTTTATTTCCAGCTCCTACTCCTTGGAAAATATCCAGTGTGCATGCATTTTTAAAATGATGCCAGTACATAAAGGCAACTAAAGAAAGAAAGAGAAACTTAAAATAAAAAATGAGGAAAAAAAAAGAAACCGGTAACCTTGATTGCCTCCTCGGAGGCGAACTAGGTGCTTGGGCACCAGGGTGGGAGGAAGGGATCTTTATCTGTGTACACTCTTATATCTTATGAATTTTGTATAAAAAATACATTCAAAAAATAAGAACACTTAATTTGAAACGCTGAAGACTGGAAACTAAAAAGCAAACCAACAAAAGTAGTACACAGTTCATATGAAAAGGAGCCTAGAAGATATTCGATGACTGTAAACTCAGTATGTAGGACAGACCACTAAGAGCTTGCTTGTATTCCAAAAGTTCAGTTCAGAGATGATGCAGTAAAAGGGAAAGCGCAGGGGCTAAGTATTCATTTGATGGTTTGTTTATACCCTTCTTTCTAAAAGTAGTTAGGGTGACTTGCAAACACATGTAACACATAAAACTATAATATTAATCACAGGCAAGAAGGATGGGGGCTTGAAGGAAAGCAGTGACCCGGAGTCAGCAGTGAGTACTGGGCCCAACAGGGCAAGGAGGGTGAGAGGCTAGCGGAGGCTAAAGGGAGACATGTGGGAGCGGGCCACCTCCTTGAAGCGCATTTTGGCTGAGGAGCACACCTGGAGACCCAGAAGGCTGAACCGAGGGAATAAATACTCTAACCCCACTCCTCCCTTCTCTCCCTCCTTCCCGTCCCTACTGCAGATCCCAGCTGGCCAGACCCAACAGAACACAGAGGCCATGGAAAGTCTGTTGTTGGGAGTCCAGGCAGCTTTCTCAGGCAGCAAAATAGGGTGAAAGGAGCAGGGATTTGGAGAGGCAAGAGGAAGGCATGTGGCATACTCATCATGATATAAATACCGATCAATGACTTAACCAATATTTACAAAAACCTACATGTACGATGTGTGGGAGAGCAGAGGTAGTTATAAGTCAGCCTTGGAAGGAAGTCGGTAATGGGGAAAGCTGACAGTTCCAAAACTGGCGATATATATATATATATGTAAAACATTTAGAAATATAGAGATAAAACATAAGACAAAAAGCAACAGCTAAATGAGTAAAGCCTTTGGGCACTAAGGGAGTAGAGACAGTATACACTTTGCAATGTTATAATTTAAAAAAAGATATATTTAATAAAAACAAAGGAACATTAAGGAAGTTGCTAGACGGCTACACAAAAGAACTAACGTGGTTACATTTGTGGAGAGGGAATGAGGAGTGAAAGAACATGAGCTTTTCATTTAATTTCCAGGGCACTGTTTTACTATGAACACCTGCTATTTGTGTAATATCGTGTTTATACTTTAAACAACAAACAAATCAACTGAATTTAGTTGCTAAAGGGAATGTAACTTATCCCTCAGGTGGGTTGGGGCAGAACACTTGAAACCTACTGATTTCTATCAAATGGAGACCAGGGTGAGTCACTGACTTGCTCACACGTAGAGTTCACCAGAGCCTTGATTAGGACCCAGGACTTCATTGGGGACTTAAAGGCAGAAGACTCTTCCAATCATTCCTTGCCTCAGAGGGAATAAGGAAATAGGATATAAAGTAAGTATGGTTCATCACCTTCTGTCCCTAAAGTGAAGCAGCCAAGGGGTGAAAGACCATATAGAGGCCCAGACCAGCAAAGAACTGTCCAGTCATGTCACTGTTGTTGAAGACCACTACGTTTTGGAGTGTCTTGTTATGCAATAATAAATAACCGATACAATCTACATTAAAAAATAAATAACATATTGTTGTCTCAGAACTGTCCAGATGCCAGCACGCTATTATAATTCTGCTTTCTGATATGGTGAAAAATGTCCCTTTTAAGAAATATTTAAACTTTAAAAAAAAAAAGAAGGGGGGAAAAAAAAAAAAAGCCAACCCCAACCACAAGCTAAACTGAATGTTTAATATATTCTGTAGGAATAGAAGGAATGCAACAAAAATTAGAATTTTATAATATACATTAGACATTTATGTAAAAATTGTTCCATTTTTCCCCAAAGAGATTTCCTCAATTTCTTGTCTTTGCCATTTTCTTCAGAGCAGTACTTTCTACTCTCGCAGATAAGGGACTCCACTGTGTTGGGCAGTAATTACAACTTTATGTTTCAAGTCATTATCACCTCCAAACACTCCCTTTCACTTCCCTGCACAGTCTCACTGTACTGTTTCATAGTGAAAATAAACTCCACTCAAATTCAAAGAGCCTGAACAGAAGCTAGAAGCCCAAGGATGTTTAGGTACTGATTTAGTAACAAAGCCTACTGGCGCAATCCTCCTATTTATTCATACTATTAAAGCTAGGTAAATGAAAAAGGAACGTGGGAACGAGATCATTAATTATAACTAAATACATTCTAAATATAAATACCATGTATTTCCTGATCAGTATCAGGCAAACACCTACACCATCCACCCCGAGTTGTGGTCTAAGAGAAAAGGTCAGAGACAATTACAAAGAAAGTGCTTCACATTATCAGGTCCATTTTGAAAACAAGGAGGTCCCTGGGTCAGTGCCTTCAGTCTTTCTTTTTATCAGAGATTTCTGTCGATCCTTGTGTTGGAAATCCATTTATGTCTGCCCCCTAAAATGAAAAACCATTTTAGAGATTATTATAAGACACTCATCATAAGAAAAACTCTCTTTGAAACAGTCAACAAACTTCAGGATGAAAAAAACTCTGCTTCTAGAATTATTCAGGATGGCTTTAGTGCAGTTGAAAACAATCAAAGTTGAACGTAACAAGCACCATTGCTAAAAACAACACGTTGTCTCTAAATAGTCATTTTTAAAAAATAACTTCATTTTATAAAAAGAATAAAAAACGGGCCTAACTGGTTTGGCTCAGTGGATAGAGCACCGGCCTGCAGACTGAAAGGTCCCGGTTCAATTCCAGTCAAGGGCATGTACCTTGCTTGCGTGCACATTCCCAGTAGGGGGTGTGCAAGAGGCAGCTGATGGATGATTCTCTCTCATCAATGTTTCTAATTCTCTATCCCTCTCTCTTCCTCTCTGTAAAAATCAATAAAATATATATATTTTAAAAAAGTCCAGCCAGTGTGGCTCAATGGTTGAGCATTGACGTAGGAATCAAGAGGTCATGGGTTCGATTCCTGGTCAAGGGCACATGTCCGGGGTGTGGGCTCCATCCCCAACCATAGGGGGCGTGCAGGAGGCAGCCCGTCCATGATTCTTTCTCCTCGTGGATGTTTCTCTCTCCCTCTGCCTTCCTCTCAGAAATAAATAAAAATACATTTTAAATAAATAAATACTTCTATGATCCTCCTAAATTAAATCTCCCACCAAATTTTTTTAAAAATATATTTTATTGATTTTTTACAGACAGGAAGGGAGAGAGATAGAGAACTAGAAATGTCGATGAGAGAGAATCATCGACCAGCTGCCTCTTGCACACCCCCTACCGGGGATGTGCCTGCAACCAATGTACTTGCCCCTGTCCGGAATCGAACCTGGGACCTTTCAGTCCGCAGACCGACGCTCTACCGCTGAGCCAAACCAGTTTTGGCTCTCCCACCAAAATTATCAGCCAGTGACATTGGCTTTTTTTCATGTTATCTCTTTGCACCGATGAGCTATTTCCCATTACTCTCACCAGCCAGGAAATACTGGCTATTATCTTGGCCATTGGCAAGGAGCAATTGGATTAATCAGAGGCCTAGTTTAAAACTTTAGTTTAAACCAACTGTTAATTTCTTTAAAAAAAAAACACCCAAATTCCTTTTTTTTCTTCTTCTTCTTCTAAACTGTAAGAGAAAGTTTGTTTAAAGTTATAAAGGTAGCAGAAATGAGCCAGCTGGGCGGCACAGGCTCCGGGAACGAGCTCTTGGAGCTTGGAAGAGAGAAAGACACAGGTAACTCGCCCAGGGAGGAAAGAGAGGGGGTGGGAAAGGCTCCGAGGAAAAGTCAACCCTCCTCCTACCTCCCCCATCCCCCCACCCCCCACCTCCCCATTTAAAAAAGAAGGAAATTAAGACACATTGATGAAGCTTCTGGTTCCAAGAACTTGCCTTTCAAAAGCCAAATAAGTTTACCCAGAGAGTACCACCCTTCAGCCTTCCTATTCGAGGTATTTCCATGTTCTCACCTTATAGTCTATTTTGCCTTTGCTTGCATCATTGGATTCTTGCACAGCTTTTCGAGGCCATATGCGACTGACAAAGGGGGAAATCAGAGGGTATATGTATGGCTCCAGGAACTTTTTGTAGATCCAGAGCAGCACTGGAATGACGATACAAGGAATGCACACCATCTTCCCAGGTGGGAGCTCTTGAACTGACAGACGCAAAGAAAAAAACGAATCAGTTCCTCATAGATTAATGACTAACAGAGTTTAGCTAGATTGGGATGTTCGAAAGGATTATTTCTACGCTGAAGGAACAACTTAGATCCTACTATTAGCTAAATGCAAGGACCTATTAAAGATACTGCTATTTGCAGGGTAACGGAATAGCAGGTGGTAGGCATGAAAATAACAGCGACGTTCCCGCTTCCAAACCTCTCCAATCACTGCTCCCCAACCATAAATTTAATGATAAAGACGCCAATATTTGCTAGGTGCTACGCAGTTTAATGCTTTGCATATACAGTTGGCCCTCTGTATCCCCAGGTTTTGCATCATGGAGTCAATCAACCCCAAATCGAAAACATTTGAAAAGAAAATCTCAAAAAATTCCAAAAAGCAAAACCTGAATTTGTTATGCACAGAGCACCTCGCGAAATCAATGCAAATGAAGTGTGTGTAGGCCTACTGAAGCCTATTCTTAAACCCTACACCTTTTATATGGGGGGTTTGTGCACCCAGGAATTTTGGTATGTGGGGTCAGGGGGTTGGAAGGGTGTCCTGAAACCAATACCTTCAGGATACTGAAGGACAACTGTATAACTCATTTATTCAAAACCCAGTGAGGTTGGGTACCTTTGCATTTTTTTTTTTAATGTATTTTATTGATCTTTTACAGAGAGGGAGATAGAGAGCTAGAAAAGACGATGAGAGAGAAACATCGACCAGCTGCCTCCTGCACACCCCCTACCGAGGACGTGCCCGCAACCAACGTACATGCCCCTGACCGGAATCGAACCCAGGACCTTTCAGTCCTCAGACCGACGCTCTACCACTGGGCCAAACCGGTTTCGGCTACCTTTGCATCTTAATTTACACATACAGCAAAGGAAAGCACAAAACATTAAGGAACTTGGTAATTATGACTTAATCAGTTAAACCTAAAATGCTAAGGGCAAACAGTATAATATGAAACTCTCTAAGATATCACTTTGGAAGACCCCTAAGCTGCAAATTGGTTGGCCTTTTCCAGGCAATAATTCTCCCTTGATATAAATGCTTTTTCTTTTTTCTTTTTTTAAAAATATATTTTATTGATTTTTTTTTTTTTTTTTACAGAGAGGGAGATAATGAGAAACATCGGTGAGAGAGAAATATCGATTAGCCGCCTCCTACACACCTCCCACTGGGGATGTGCCCACAACCCAGGCATGTGCTCTTGATAGGAATTGAACCTGGGATCCTTCAGTCCATAGGCCGATGCTCCATCTATCAAGCCAAACTGGTTTTGGCTGCTTTTTCTTTTTATGGCAATTAAGGTGTACTGTATAATAAAACTATTTGTTTATTTATTTATTATAAGTAAGTTGTTTATTATTAGTATAAGGAAATTTTTTATTTAAAAATTTTAACACATCTAATTTCCTTGATAATTAGAAATCACCTTAGAATGTCTCAAAATCAGCAATTTATTGAAAAAGAACAAATACTACTTCCACAAAATACTAATAAACCAAAGACTTCTTACATTTACAAGAATTTTTAATCCCTTAGAGTAGGCCTTAAAAATTAAGATGCTTTGCCCTGGCTAGTGTTGCTCAGTTGGTTGAACAGCACCAAGAAGTTGCTGATTTGATTCCCAGTCAGGCCACGTGCCTGGGTTGTGGGCTCCATCCCCAGTAGGGAGCGTGCTGGAGGCAGTCGATGGATGGTTCTCTAATTGCTGTTCCTCTCTCCCCCTCTTAAAATCAATAAAAACATATTTTTAAAAAACCAACAATTGAGAAGCATCAGAACACTGCATAAGGCTAGTAATTCAGGATGTTAAAATTTCATCCTGACTACACAAAGGCAATTTAAAATTATTCATAATACAAGTGAACAATGGCACAGGCACAGACAATTCAATCCCCATGACTTTGAAATGAATTATAAGAGCTACAAACAAAAATCCGGATGTACGTCTATGAAGGAAGAGCTATTTTACAAAGGATTCATAACCATTTTTTTTGTAAAGGTCCCCTAGTCAAATTAAAGTAACAACTTAATAATTTACCAAAATGTTTTAAAGCTAAACAAGTGGTGAGTCTTTTTCACTGTTTTTCAAGGAGTCATTATTTTTGTCCGTAAATGTAGAATGTGATCTGGGATACTGAAAAGGTGGTCTGGGTAACGTACTGAACACTCTCACAGGCACCACAGCATCACCGAGCTGACTGGCTGGCAGCTGCCTGGATTTGAGATGTTTCCCCCGCTTTCTATATGGTGTTCGTGGGCAAACTACTTCCCCAGTCTGTGCCTGAATTCCCTCGAGTGTAAAATGTAGACAATAATATTTACCTCACTGGGGATTAGATAAATTAATATACATACAAAGTTCAGAAGTGTGTCTGCATATGGTAAGTGCCATGAAATAGTTACTGGAAAAAACAAACAAATAAAAAAGCCAAAAATGGTGACCTGTCCAAAGTTCACACAAAGGTAACAGGTAACTAGAGCTGGCTAAGACCAGAATGCCCAGGTCCAGTTTCCTAACTCAAGATTCTTGTCTCTATCCCTTCCAAGAACACAATGATTATGTTAATTACTACCCCCTACCAAACCTTCAAAACCAGCGAAATCCTTCCAACACCTGGCGACACTTTGAGCACTAGGCCTGGCAGGCTGGTGACTGGCAGTCCCTCCATCACAAAGGTTCATTTTTACCTACTTGTCATTGTGTTTTAAGTAAGTACTTGCGCACTGTGTTTTAAATAAACTCTGGAGAACCAATACTGCTAATCAGTTTTATCATCCTTAAGGCTTTTATAAAACTTTTTAGCTCTTCAGAATGAAGCTACTGAATTTCAGCTCTTAACCGTCATGATTCTTCGATGAGTTGTTATACTTCATCCACGTGGACAGTGTGGCTTAGAAAGGTCGCTACGATAAACTGATACAATTATAATTTTACTTAACCTCCACACACCAATTCTCGGATACTACCACAAAGGAAGCTGTTGTAGGAGAGAAATGTTTATATTCGACTTAGTCCAGCACAACAGGCTGGAGAGGAAAGGCTGAGGCTGTCAGAACAGGGCAGGTGGACGGGGAAGGCGGATGGGGAAGGCCACGCACGTAGGTTACCGGGCTCCGTAAGGAACGTCCTCTTGTTGGAGACAAAGAGGGAAAACAAGGAGTGAGGATGGGAGAGGAGGGCGAGCGGTGGTGACGATAACAGGAGCGCCAAGAACCCGACAATTCAGGCCAAGGGGCGGATAAACGGACACAGAGGGAAAGGCAGGCGGGGCCGGGCGGGAGAGTGCCCAGGAGGCAGAGGAGGACAGCCGGCCAGGGGCGCCGCAAGGGAAGGGGGGCCGTCGGGCAGCGCAGGGTCCGCGGGGCCGGGCCGGAGCCGCGCCCCAGCCGAGCTCCGCCCGCGCCCCCGGCCCACGCCCGCGGAGCAGCCCGCCGGCGCCGCGGCCACAGCCCACCCACGCCCCAAACGCCCGGCCCAAAGCCCCAGCCCACTCGACCCCACTCACCCGCGACCACAGAGCCCAAGCGGAAATGCCCGCACTTCCGGAGGGAGGGACCTGCCGCAGCCGGGCCAATGGTCTCCGCAAAAGGGGCCGACAAACACGCGCCTGCGTCAGCCTGACGACACACCCGGCGCGCAGGCGCCGCCGGGCGGGGCTCCGGCGCCCGGGCCTGGGCTCGCTCCCTAGGCACTCCGATCCGATCCGAGAAATGACGCCTGTTACCAATGGCTCACCAACGCAGGCAAGGTTACTGTTTCCAAATGCAGCTGTGCCTAGTCACCCTCTCCTGTAGTTATAAGGGCAGGTGAGTGAAGTCAATATGGAGAAATGGCTATACCACTTCACTCCCAAAGCAGCTATCAGTGTTGATGTGGAGAAAATCGAACCCTCTGCTAGGGGCATTGTAAATGGCATACATGGAAAGTCTGGCTGTTACCATGATTCAACAATTACTCATGACTTATATCCAAAAGAAATGAGAACATGCCCATCAAAAATCCTGCAAAGGTGCACAGCACTACTTGTAATACTTTAACAGACCCAAATGTTCAATATATTGATACAAATACATCCAGTACTATATATACATGGATGAACCTCAAAAATACTGTAAAAAACCAGCCAGTGGGCCACATACTACGATGTTTCTTGAGATGTCAACAGCCCTATCTATAGCTACCGTTTCCCCGAAAATAAGACCTATTTACACGTTTCCTTCTGAGTAATATGTAAGACACCCCCCCCCCCCCCCCGTGCCCGCAAATAAGGCCCCTAAGCTAAACATGAGATATGGTCCACTGATTCTGAAAGAAATGGAGTCACAAGAAATTCACCAGGAAATACAGGAATTGGATTATGATGATGTTCCAGATAACGATTGTCATTGAATAAATGAGTAAATTCTTGATACTGTAGGATTCAGTTTGGTTTGCGTTGACAACTAACATACCGTATACAGGTAATAAGTTTATTTTCATTTAACAATAAATGTGTACCATATTCTTCATGGAAAAATAAGACATCCCCTGAAAATATTGCCTAGCGCATCTTTGGGAGCAAAAATTAATATAAGACACTGTCTTAGGGCTGGGGGTAACAGCAAACCACTGCCAAGGTTCCTCTCTGGGGTGATTAAAATGTCCCAAAGTTGATTTTAGCGATAGATTCATAACAGTATACCAACATCAATTGCACTATTAACTGCAATGTTAAATCTCAATAAAATGGCCATAAAAAATTTCACAACTTGCCGAAACCGGTTTGGCTCAGTGGTAGAGCGTGTGTGCGGACTGAAAGGTCCTGGGTTCTAATCTCGGTTGGGGGCATGTACGTTGTTGTGGGCACATCCCCAGTAGGGGGTATGCAAGAGGCAGCTGGTCAGTGTTTCTCTCATAGACGTTTCTAGCTCTCTATTCCCTCTCCCTTCCTCTCTGTAAAAAATCAATAAAA